TGCGAAAGTTCGCGAGACAATTCAGTAGATGAAACACAAAACTCCCCGAAAGAACACACGCTTTCTGTTGTTCCTGTGATGAATCATTGAATAAAAATGCTTTATGCAAAACCTGTTCAGTGTTAGCTCATTATGACGGAAAGTCAGAGTTAACTAATTTAATTTTCGATTGTGGTGCTGCTACACGAAGTTTTGTTCATATTAGTGTAGTTAAAGAAATTAACTTAAAATTTGTTGGAGAAGAAACATTGTCTATTTATTTTTTCGGAATGAAAATACGCAGTACCTAAAACATATAAGGTTGTCGAATTCTGTGTTTCGGATGCGAAGCAAAAGAACAAAATAAAAATCAGCTGTCTCGTCACTGACGCCATTACGGCTGCGCATAATGACCACGCCGTCAAAACAAACACTAAAAATGATGAAGGAGTGCGGAATTGCGAATCGCTTGTTTAGCTGTAAAGAAGAGCGTTGGAATTCTAATATAGGTGTTGATTATTACTGGAAGATGGTAAGGGGGAGGGGGAAGATTCAATTAGGAAAGGAAATTTATGTGATTTCTACTTATGTTTGGATGGGTCCCAGTTGGCCTTCAAGATAAAGAGAGCGAAATAGTATTCTCAAAAACACGGCAATAGTAAACCTTTTATTCTTGCGTAACTGATTCATTGCGGATCGTTGTCGACTTCAGATTTGATGGGCCTTACCGATGAACTCAGCGATTTCTAACGAGGTTAGAAGAAATGATTCAGTGGTGCTTTGAAAAAGGAAATACGGGTAGAAGGTAATAGATACTATGTCAGCTTTATTATGGAAATCGGGAGCAGGGCATAGTTAGAAAATAATTTCGGAGTAGCATTAAGACGATTTGAAAGTCTTAAAAATAGACTTATTAGAAATCCTGAGATTTATCAGCAGTATAAATCCGCAATTGAAGAGCCAAATGAAGGAGGGTATAGTTCAGAAGTGTTCACAGGAAATAACGGAGGCATCGTATTTTATGCCGCACAGGGAAAATAATAAAACCTAAGGAAACCAACTAGCAAGGTTGTAGGATTGTTTACGACGCGAGCTCTTCTAGAACTAAAGGTGTAAAGTCCTTAAATGATTTTTTAGACATTGGACCTAGTTTGATCCCCGTGGTTTTGGACATAATTTTAAAATTTCGGAAATATGAAATTGCTTTTCAGTGGAGATTTAGCTAAGGCCATTTTAATGATAGGAATCTTAGAAAAGGATAGGGATATTTAAAATTTCTTTGGTTCGGGAATAGTGAGGAAAAATATAAAGTTTTAAGGTTTAAACGTCTTCCATTCGGACTTTGCTGTAGTCCAGCAATTTTAGCGATGACGATAAAAATTCCACATTAAAAAAATATAAAAGCACAAATCCAGAAAGTTATGAAATGTTAGATTCCTCGTTATATGTAGACGATTTATACTACGGTGCAGACACTATTGAAGATGCATGTTCGATTATCCTCAGACGCGGTTAAGATTTTCAAAGACGCTGAGATGAATTTGAGAAAATTAAGGTCAAATTCCGAGGAACTTAATTCCTGGTGGATTGGAAAAAGGTTTATAACATAGAACCAGCTAAAGAGTCAAATTTTTGGGCATGATCTGGAACTCTGAAGCAGATAAGATCAAGTTGAATTGCGCAATTTTTAGGAAATTTATCCCATGACAGTGCTGAGGTCACAAAAAAGGACTATTCTCCAAAGGGTGGCCAAAGTTTACGATCCAATGGTGTGTGTTTTCAACCCTTTGTGATGAAAATGAAAATTCTGTTACAAAAAATTTGGACATTAGGTGTGGACTGGGATGATACCTTCCATTAGAAATAATTAAGGACTGGAGTCGCTGGCAAGCTGAATTAAAGGTGTTGGAGGATTTTTTTCTTCCGAGAAAATATTTTGGTAGTAGTGAAAAATCTAATGTTAGCTCTTCATGTATTTGCTGACGCTAGCCCTAAAGCGTACGGCGCAGTAGCATACTTTAGATACCTTGATTCAGAAAAATATTATTTGCACCAGTTTCATTACGCAGCAAAGGGTCGCGTACTAGTAGCTCCACTCAAGACTACGACTCTACCCCGTTTGAAGTTGATGGTTGCTTTAGTAGCCGCCAAATTGTCTGTGTATTTGACAAAGCTGTTTCCTGAACTGTGTCATCAAAAGGTTTCTTTGGAGTGATAAGCCAAATAACTATCTACTGGATAAAGGGATGTGCAAGAAACTGGAAACCCTTTGTATCAAACCTAGTTTCTGAGATTCAGTCACTCACGAATCCTGAATGCTGGTTTCACTGCAGTGGGAGTGAAAACCCTGCTGACCTTTTATCTCGAGGAGAAAATGCCTTTAATCCTTGTGAGAAGTTCCCTTTGGTTACCTGGGACCTAGCTGGCTCTCTCAACCTGAAAGTGTTTGGCCAGTAAATCAACAGACCAACATCGACGAGAGGAGAGCGTTCAAAAGGAAGCAAGGGTGCAAACATCTCTTTATGTTTCTGTTCAAGACGTAGAATCTTCGGCATTACTAGAGTTAACGCGATTCAGCAGGCTGCTGAAGGTGTATCGAATTACGGCTTATGTTATGCGGTTTACCAACAATATAAAACGAAATTCAGTGAAAGTCAAAGGTCCATTAAGCTCTGTTGAGATTTCGCGAGCTGAGCTCTATTGGGTGAAAAGTTACACAGCGAAAATACTTTGCGAAAGAGATTCTAGATCTATCAAGTGGAAAAATGCTTAGAAAAGACATCGTCGATTTATTCACTTAACCCAGAATTGGATACCCATGGTCTTCTGCGTTTAAAGGGCAGACTTCAATTCTCAGACCTTGTTCTTTCGAAGAAAAACACCCATTTGGCTGTTACCTTATAAAGAATAGATACAGTGAACTAGTAATTTTTGAGTCTCATACCAAATTGTTCCATGCTGGAGTCGAAGCTACCTTAGCCGATATTAGAGAAAAAGTTTTGGATTCATAAAAGGACGCCAATTCGTCAAGTCGACGTTAAGTAAGTGCTTTTTGTGTAAACGATACAAGGTGCGTGCCGGTACACAGGAAACCGCTCCTTTACCACCTGATCGTGCTCTTCAATCATCTCCATTTTCTGTTAACAGGGCTGGATTATGCTGGTCCTTTCTTTACAAAGGACAGCAAGAATAAACATTATCTGCTTTTGTTTACATGTGCTACAACTCGAGCTTTACATCTAGAACTTGTCCCTTCTATGAGCGTGGAGAATTTCATGCTTGCGTTTTCGCAGGTTTATTTCTCTCCGTGGATTGTGCTCAACGATATATTCGACAATGCCAAGACATTCAAATGTGCTGATCTCGAGTTGCGAAAAATTTGGAAGTGTATTCACACATCCATCTGTACAAAATTTGTTTTCTTCCCACGGTTTATAAACATGGAAGTTTATTGTGGGAAAAAGGAGCATGGTGGGGAGGGTTCTGGGAAAGGCATTTTAGAACGATCAAAACTTGTTTAAGGAAAATAGTTGGACGTTCTAGTCTCTGTTTGAATGAGCTAGAAACAGTCTTCGTAGAAAATCGAAGCCATAATTAATTCAAGACCCATAACGTATGTGTCTACAATGACCCTTCAGAACCCTCACCGCTAACTCCTGCTCATTTTTTAAATTGGTAAACGTTTACTTTCTCTTCCAGTTACAAGAGTGTGCAGAGAAGACTTGATTGGGTCTAGACATTCCTTGATCAAAAGGTATAAACATCAACAAACCTTGTTAAACCACTTTTGGAATAGGTGGAGGAAGGATTACTTGCTTTCTTTAAGATCTGTGAATTTATGTCCACCTACTAAAGTGTCTGGTCAGTTTAATGTTAATGATGTAGTCCTTGTACATGACGACCGTTTACCTAGGAATTTGTGGACACTAGGTAAGATAATAGAAACTTATCCTAGCAGAGATGGTCAGGTTCGCTCGTGTCTCATTAAAACTCAAACAGGTAATCTAAAGAGACCAGTACAATTGCTGTACAACCTTGAAGTGCATAATTAGTAGTAAAGAGTTACAGTGTAATAATCTAATTTGTTGTTTGCACATATATCATCTTCTGAGTATCTTTATTGATTGTTGCTAAATGTAGTTTAGTTTATATAATTCTTGCGAATTTGATTTAGTATAATGTTTTTATTTAGTAATTACTTTATAAGTTGATTTAACGTGTTTTTAAAACATTACTTAATTGTTATTTGTAATTTGATAGAGTTTATAGAGTATTCAAATGTTGTGTTTGATTTAGAAATACTGGTTTATTTTGTATTCGGTTTGTGTGAACTTAAAGAGTTCACAGGTGGGGAGTGTTGTAAAGAGAGAAGTAGAGGGCGCTGCTTGGCAGTAGCGCAACGCATGTAAGTAGAAACGAAATGTCGTTTGATTAGGCAACATGATTTCTGTGAAGGTAGTCCACCTAACAATAGGACAGTTGTAAATATGTAAATATAACGAATAATAAATAGTATTAGAAAACTGAACCATCGGATGTTTTGTGCTTGCTCTACGGGCCGCCATGGATAAATGCAGGTTCGTCACATGAGGCTCCGGCAGCCAGACTGAGACCATTCCAGTAAAGTACAGTAAACCCTTGTCGAACGCGGGGGTTACGACATTAACAGATTTCGTGTACAGCAAAATCCTATTCCGAAAATTTAACTTTTTTTGGACCGTTGTAGAGAACTGAGTTAATGAATGAATTTTCAAAAGAATCATTAAAAAGTGTTATCGTAAAGCGGTTGACGCTCTGCAACGTAACGAGTGTGATTTCAAATTAAATGGAAACAATTAAGGTAACGCATATACGTAAAATTGCCTTCCACAAGTCTGCGTTCCACAAAGGTTTACTGTGTACAACTATCAAATCTCATATATGGATAATGGAAAGTGTATGCTTTTCTGTAACTCACTTATATAAAGTTATTTTGTATATCAAGATACTGATAAACAATGACAATTCTATTTTTCCCCTAGGTTGCCCTTTGCTAACATCAAGTGGACTATCATCTTTAGTACAGCTGCCAGAATTAAGAGAGCTAGAGCTCACTAACTGTGCCGGAGCGTCAGTAGAACTGCTAGAATATTTGCGAGAACATCTACCCATGTGTTTGGTAATCGAATAACATGTCCCGTCCTCAACATCTACGAGAGAAAGCGTGATTATTGATTTTTCTTAAATGCTTGTTACACCTAATTTCAAAAATAATTCCATCATTCATAGCTGATGCAATACGTGCATGGCCCTGCTGTGATGTCATCTAAAGTTATCAACATTAAACTATATTAAAATATTTCATACACTAAACCACGTTAATTTTCCAAAATAGTTTTCACTAAATATCTCGCTGCCCTCCAAGCTGAGTGAAGAATTTTGAGCTCAGGAGTAATGTGTCTTCGACTTCTGTCTTACCTGAACTCAAATGGTACACTTCTTCATAAAATGAATAGATTTCTTAATTAATTTAAATTTACATCGATATGAAACATCGACGACTTTATCCAAATCACAGACTGTTAAATAGAAGAAGAAATAAAATGAGACATCATCTAGCGACGCCGTATTCTTTCTGGGAAACGTTTAGAATAAAATGAGAAAAAGAAGAAAGTGGAAATGGCACCAGTAGAACATAATGATATGAAAACATCTAGATGTAGGTAGAATTTACCTCCGAATCGTCAAAACACAAGTAAAATCGTTTGAATTGCATGAAATGCACAAGAATAGAATGTTCTAGCGAAGTATTTTAGATCATTCTTGAAGGTGAATGCTCAAAGATAGCTGCTTTAGAAGTAATGTTACAGCGAAGTTTTTATTTAATTAAGGTATTCAAAACTTCAAATCACGTTAAATAAGTTGTTTCTAAAAAGTAATAGTCTTGTTTGTCTTTTATCCTTTGGACAACATTTGGACACTGTTATTGGAACTAGATGCAGCTGGCTCTTTTTTGTGAGCTTATGACATTTCGAAAACTGGCATAAGAAAAAGTGCACAAACACTTAGAACAAAGTAGTAGCTCTGTTCAAAGAAAATGTGATTAATATTTAGCCAGGAACAAGTTTCAGTGTAAATGGCATCATTTCTTAAGCATTCAATCATTTGCACTAGCATGACATAGAAGGTTTAAGAAGCACAGACGTTTTTACCTATCAAAATCGATTCTTCAGTAAACTGCGATTTTAAAATTACAGAATAAGCGACAGCTTCGACTACAATTAAATTCTGGAATGTTTCTAAGGTATATCTTGAGGACTTAGCACTAGAAAAAAATGAAAAGCAAAACCTGATTTGTTTATTTTTTGCACTTATTTGCATAATTAAATCGTATACAGAATTGCTTAAGCGTGATTATCGCTAGAAATATTTTCTTCCTATAAAATATGTATCATAATTACTTTAAAAGTGCAGTTTTAGTTTTATGAACTATAAACTAGCACATTTATCAAAATAATTTCTTCAAAAGAAAATACTGCTTCATTACAAAAAAAAAAAAAAAAAAAAAAAAAGAGCCGATTTATTTATGTGAAGAATTGAAATTCTGTGTCTTCTTAGATTTTCTAATATGATGCCTTGGGCATACGGCGTAACATTTTGTATTGTGCACATGTTTGGAATGAATGTAAATAACTGCGCCAAATGCACATAGTAATTTTATTGTCCACTTGTACAGAGCGAAATGTATGTGCAAAGTTTAACGAAGTGACAAAAAGTTATTGGTTAATTCCTTTTATTACTGTTATATATAAACATTGTGGAAAATAAGCGCTAGTATCAATGCAGCTAAAATATTGAGCTAAAGAAGTGTTTGAGATGTTGCCACATCTTTTTTGTATAACTCCAGTTGCAAAGGAAAAAAAAAACAAATTCTTTCTCAATCCACTTGGATGATTTAGCATGTTCTACATTTTATTAAGCATGATTGATAATAAAGACTATTCTAAATATTCGCCAGATTTTTCAAAATACAACTTAATTTTAAAATATTCATACTTTATTAAAATACTTTTGTAAGATGTTTAATTTTTATGGTTATTATGTTACATATGTTAGCAGTATATTCAATATTTCTCCTTATTTATATATCAGAATTCTGAACTTAAAAAGCATTAATGAAACGTTTAACGCTTTACAACCAGTAACTGCAGCAAGTTATATAGCTAATTAATTAACTAATTAAAAATTATATAGCTAGATATCTGAAGACGAATTACAATTGACTGATGACATTTATGCCACATATTTCTAATTTTAGAAATACTAATAGCTGCATTGCATAAATTACTAACATTAAAAACTTAAAAAACTTCAGTTGTACATTTTTTTTATTATTGTAAATAACATTTCTGTGCCAATATACATAAATATCACGCATAAAACACAAAACAAGACTCACTTTTTCCCAAAGAGAGTAAAATTCAAATTTCTCAAATGTTCTACTTCTCTAATGTTCTGTAACCAACTCAAGATGAACTCTTCAGTTCACATAATTTAAATTTCATTACTTTATTGTGTTATGTCAATAACTTTTTTAAATAAGAGAGAAATCAATAAATTCAACTATTTTTTGTTGATTGCAGCATATACGAGACTCTTGAAATTTCTGAACATTTCCTAAAACGTTTTGTTATTTTAAAAAATTCTACTCGTGGCTTCAATTTTTAGAAAAGGAACTATCTGAAATTATCTTTAGTACAGAAGGGTTCACCAGCAGGCGAGAGCGATAAAGTCAGATTGTTCACCTCTAACACGTAGGAAGGGCGAAAAAAAAAATCTTTGCTGAATTTTCTGTCATTTTCTAATTTAAAGTTCATAATTACAGTTTCTAAAGGATTTAATTGATTTCTCTATTAACAGTAATGAGTATTCTATGATAATTAACCATTTACCTGTCAGTGTTCTCAGTCGGAAGTATAAATAAAAATATAATTTAAAATTAACTATTTTCCAGTTTTCAACAGATAACTCAATTATTTCAATTAAGACTTTTTGAAACTGCCATTTAAAATAAATTATTTCAACAAAAGAAGAAAATTTATTCTATAATATTCCATAATCCGACATATTTAATATTTTTTAAAATTCTTTGACACTTAAACAACAAACGAAAGTTAGTTCACTCAAAATAAAATTATTTGATAACCATATAATAAATGACAATCTTATATTTCAGATGTATAATGTGCAGTGCAAATGCATTCATTAATGAAACAATATGCGTGAACTAGACGGAAAGTGTTCACAAATGGGAACATACCAGTAGAAATATACAGAATTACTCTTTCCCCACATAATATTTTCTGCCTGCTTAAATAGCAGTCACATAAGTAATAAATGAAACAATACCAAGCAGTCACAAAAGTAATACACGAAACAATCAAAACCATAAGAGAAACGCACCAAAGTGAAACATAAAATTCACTACTATTTTAGCCGACAGATGACACTACCTTCTCGTTGGCTTTATTGCTGGAGCGTATATACATGGCTGCTGCGCTTCACCATAATGCTATTTATTAATAGTAGTATTTTCAGCCAGCTTAGGAAACTATGATTCCCACTATAGAACATCCATTTAAACGTCCTCGTACGATTATTATTTATTAATAGCTAAAGTGTATATATTTTCCAGTCATTATACCAATGTGTATCTTACTTGTCACTGTGGTTGATCTTATAGCACCTGAGTTTTTATTAGAACATCTAATTTCGAATGTATTTTGCATCCTTTGTAATATTAAACGCCACTGTTTGTATCTGTTATGTTTCTTAAAGACTTTTTCATCTCATGAAGATTATTGCCAGTTGTTGGTGCCACTTCATCCTAGTTTCAGTTCTGCCAGCTGAGACTTTGCCAGTTCGAACAGCATTCCTCTTGCCGTAAAACAGTGGCGCGCCAAGGACCTCGGGCCATCCATTTAGAGGTCAAAACCATTATGGTTATATGCCTATCTTGCCTACAACTAACGGTATGGTAACGGCTGCTTCCCAGTCTTGCAGATTTCTTTACTCCTGGTGAACAGGGACCTGTACCTGTGTGCCCTCAAAATTTCTTCACTACTTTTATGAAACAATTACCCAGGGTGTTCAACATTATCTGAATGCAATATAACTATTTAGTGCAAGCAATATTCTTCAAGGTGGCATGTGAAATTAATTTGATAATTTAAGCGTTGAGCCAGCCACAGACGAATGAAAATACGTTGTTGTGACTTATCACATTTGCCTGACAGCAACATCAGAACAAGTCCACAAAGTTCATTCTGGCAAGGAACAGATTGTATTTATCATTGGCATGGATTTTGAGCTCCTTACAGGTGACACAATGCTTTTGCCCAGTTCCATCCCAATTTTGAATTAGACTTCCTTAGGCGATTCCCTGCTTTCCCTACCACAAAAACCCTCGAGAGGACTTTTAGCTCATTGTGTGTTTTAAGTTGCCCATGCTGCAAAGACACTATACACTTTCCAAGTTCTCCTCATGATTTGAAACCGAACCCAACGATACGCTAACTAGGAATGCTAGCCTCTATAGCAGGGATCCCCAATCTTTTCCTTGCATTGATCCTTTTTAAAAAAATAATTCACGGACATTCTTAGAGTTTTCTTTATAAGGTGTCACCTAAAAACATCGCGGAGAAAACAGCGGAAGGCGATAACGTCATGTAACAGAACATCGTGGGAAAGCAAGAAGAAAACATCACAGTTCTAAAACACCGTCATCGAAAATAAAACGGTTCAAAATCTCATCAGTTCAAAAACTTCGATGTCGAAAATAGTGATAAAAAAAAAGCCCCTACAAATCATCGCTTGATGATAACATAGCAGATATGTGTTTTCAGAATTAATATTTCAAGATTCGTATAATTATTTGTGAGCAAATAAAGGAGTCATGAATATTTTTACTTTTACATTCCATATTTTTGAGTTATAAATTTTTGTTGAAAAAATAAGAAGGAAACTTAAGCATTTAAAACCTGAAAATAATTTGATAAAAAAAAGTTAGGTATAGAAGTTAATAGAATTTTAAACTTATGTAGTTAATTAATAAAGATCATTAATTAAGTAATTTCTTTTATAAAGTTTCATTGGTAATTTTTCATGAAACATACGGTCTAAAAAAGATAGAGTAATATAGAAAATATAGAAAAATGAAGATTATTAATTGCATGCGGTTATCTCTATTAAAGCAATTTGATTCATTATCAAATAATAAAATTCTGTTAAATTCTATAGCATTGATTTTTCTACTGATTTACAGGTTTTGAATGCTTAAGTTTCTTACTCTTTCAGCAAAAATTTATTAGCTCAAAAATATGAGATTTAAAATATTCCCTATTTCTTCTTACGCTCACAAATTATTATACGAATATGCATTTACAACACTTAAAGCCTGAAAAACGGATGTCTGCAATGTAATCGTCATGCGATAATTTGTACGTTTTTTTTTTTTTTTTTTTTGTTGTTGTTGTTGTGTTTAAATCCCGAAGGGGCGTTAGACCCAAAGGGCTATAGTCTGAAAACAGCATTTTGCATCGTTTCGCTTTCTGCGTTGATTCACTTTTCAAACTGTTGCCATCAAATGTTATCGCCTAGTATTATATTTAAAGAAACTAAACAATGAAGAATCTGCATGAATGCAAGAATGTTTCTCGCACTTCGAAAAAAAAAAAAAAAACGGTACCTAGAGCCATCGAATTTTGAATAACGTAGTCCTCCAACCTAACATGGTCACTTGGAAGCCCGAATTTTGAATTTCGAATTTGTTTTATTATCTATTTCAAATTTTGTAAAGCTTTAACAAATTTTTGATTAACAAACTCGACGATTTCAGCATGCAATGGCAACGCTGTGCAGAGAAAAACCATATTTACCTCCAAAGCGTGAGACTGTGTATCGAAAATTCTAAAGATATGCTGTTTTTAAAGATTTTCTGAGATTGCTGTTGCATTGAATTTTATGTGGTTTAAGTGCGAAGAACATGATATTTAATAAATAAAGTTAACACATATAACTAAAAAAAAACCTTTTGGCCCTAATATAAAATCTGAAAGCTTTCAGATTTTCTTTCCTTTTTTTTAATTTTATAATTTCTGTATTTCGTCTTAGTAGATTTGAATTGCTGATCTAATATCCAGAAAAAGTTGCAAATTCAGAATCGCTGACAGATAAGTAACAGCATAAAAGTGTTTATTAACCGATAAAGCACTCATGTGTCCTTATTAAAAATAGATTAAAGTCATCAGTTATCTAAACAGCATTGTAAAATATAGTAAGAAGTGTTATCTATAAATATAAAATATGAAAAGTATATTCATATGATCGCATATTGGAAAAAAAAAAAAAAAGGTTTTAAATCCAGAATTTGTCTTTGTTTCTTTTACAAAAAGACTAAAGAATTAGATAAACTGTTTTCTCCTTTTGTAAGAATACTCACTATAACCATCCTATTACCTTTTGAATTCCTATTAATGGGATCATCTGAAAATAATTATCAAAAAATAAGACCAAAATAAATTGAAGAAAGCTACCCAAACGTACCTGATTTTTCTTACACTCAGTAAGTGATGATAATTCTATGTTCTAATTATTCTTAGCAATTAATGGTAAGACTTTTCTTTTCGTAAATTACATTTAATATAAATTATTATTTCAATCTGCTTTTTCAGATCTTTCAAATTTCCTTTCACATTGCTGATATTTCAAAGATTTTGCAATTTATTGCATAATGTTTTCAGCTGAGTAACCAATTCATTTCTTTCACACTGAAAAGTATTACAGCCTAGCAATGTTGGAAGTTCCTCCAGATAAAAATCATATAACTAAGATTCCATTGAGGAAAAAAATTTATTTCTCTTTTTACTTTGCGGACCGAAAACACATGAAATCCACCATGATAAGTGAAATCATAAACCCCAATCATCTTAGTCTTTATAATCGAATGTACCAAAATGTTTTTTTTTAGCTTCCTTGTACAAGAAGAATGAGTTCTTTGTTAGTCAAAAAGTATAAGTACAGACACAGTCCTTAAATTCAAGCACTCTTTTGTCGTACTTCAGAAATCAGGTGAGAATACTAACCACAACAAATCCACTTCATCCTGGCAAAAAGATCTGAACAGCCCATTTATATCAGGATCAAACAAGTGGGACTACTTCCAGAGATTTTAAATTAGGGGTATTGGTACATTATTCACATATTCAAGAAACACTGATGCGCTGATGAGCATGATACACACTGAAGCAGAGAATACCACCTTGATGCACATTGGGTTTGAATGTACTCTATTGACTTCTAATGGATAGCCGGGG